CTTTCGCACCAGGTGGCATCTTTAAGCCCATCACCAAATGGCATCTTTAAGCCCATTCACCTCCACCGTCACATCGACGAGCGCAAATTTTCTGGGCACATTAGTGTCCAATCTCCTTTTACCTTCAAGTCGCGAAAGGCAAACTTGCCAATCTAACTCTTCAGGTCAAAGAAGATTGAACAGGGGCAACTGTTGTACCCCAAAATTTGCCCTCGCATTTTTCCCCAAGAAATCTCAGCTTCAAACATTTCCTGACTTTTCAAACCGGCTCAAGAATCGGACAAACAGACTTTTCTTGACAGTCAAGCAGAATTAGGGTCTTTACTGATTTTCAGAGCTCTGAATTGTTTCATACAGTGGGCTTAGGGTTTGGTTGATTTTTGGTTCAATTTTGATCAAGCGAGCGTGATTTGGCATTTAATCGGGAATTAGGGTTTTATGGGCATATTCTCAGAAGAATTTGAATCCCACAGCACTCTGCGGTTTATTTCAAGATTCGGATTAAAATTCGCGTTATCTTGGTTTAATCAGCAAAAGAGACAGTGGTTTTGAATTCAGTACGTTTTGATTGGGCCAGTCAGATACAGGATGCAGCATTGGATTCACAGTGTTTATGTGTTTGATCAGTCTGTTTGGTTTAAATGCTGCTTTGCTTTGGATGTTGGATAAGACAGACTTAATTGATCAATGTTGTTTTATTTTAGTTATTTATTATTCTGAAATTGAATGATTGAATTTATTTTCAATTGTTTTAATTCTAAGAATTTTAAATAAATAAATAAACAATAAAGAAAAATGGAATTAATTGGATAATTTGGATTTTATTGAATAATTGAATTATTTGTACAAATTGTTGTTTATAATTTAAATTATGAACAATGATATACATTAATTTAAATATTACATAAAATTAAAAACTATCCTATTTTCTAATGTCTTCATTCTTCACTCCGCTCCGGTGCTCCATTTTTATCTGCGAAAAGAACAAGGAAAGTCAGAAAGCATTTGAAATTAAAAGACAGTTAAACTTGCTCATCATTAGGGGCCACTGACTGGGATCAGTTGACCCTCTCTGCAAATCACGGGATTTCTCCCGGTTCACAGAGAGGGAAGATTTTTTTTATTGCATGAAATGCAAATGCATAAGTTATAAATTTCAAGCTGCATAAAATCTCAATTTCCAATTCAAAACCATATAGTTCAAATCCAATCTCAACTTTCCATCCAAAGCAAAAGGCACTACTGTCAAAATGCCCAAAGTCCACTCAAAGAAAATCAAGAAAATACTCAAGGCTGCCAATAAAAAGATTTTGGAAAAGATATCACAAAGTGCCAAGGCTGTCACAAGAGATTTTGGAAGATATCAGTAAAAGCATACAAAACTGTCAAAAAAGAGATAAAGAGGATGCAGTCAAGTAGTGTGTTATGCAAGCTAAGATCTTAATCATCACTTCCCATCCAGAGCCCCTTCAGAAAAGTACAAATAATAATCATATAAAATTCAAAAAAACTGTACTTTAGGAGAGAAGAAAAAGAGATAAAGCATAGGCAGGTTTTCAGGCAGACAATAGAAAAGCAAGACAGAAAAGATATACAAATCCACAAGACAGTTCAGCAGCAGGCAGAAGAGAGTAAAAAAGACTGAAATACCAACATCCTGTCATATCCAAACCAACCTCTACAAGCCTGTCAAGCAAAAGATAACCAAAAATCTATCAAACCTGAACCTGTCCAAAAACTTCACAACTCTGCATAATACAAAGGGACAAAAGCCAATACCAAGACAGTTCAGAAGAAGGGAGAATAGAAGAGAAATATAAAAAAAAACTGAACAAGTCAAGAGGCCTCATTTTTTACTGTCAAAGCAAGAAACCTGCATCAAGCACTCAACTCTGCCTCAACCTAAAAACTCCCTATCAAAAAAACCTGATAAGCAATATACCAGCATAACCTACTGCAAAACCTCTTGCCTGTCAAAATGCTTCCAAACACATAACCATACAAAAAAAAACCAGCATTAGCCTCAACTCAAAAACTACTGAACCTGTCAAAGTTTAAACCTCAAACAACAATAATCTTCAAAGTCCAAACTTGCTGTCAAAACTTCACCATAACTGCCAAAGCCATTGCAAACACATAAACTGAAACCTAAGGTATCAAGACCATTCAAGGCCTCATCCTGCAATAAGCCTATCTCACCAAAAGCAGATCAGAGCATACAAAAGTTCCAGGCCCTCAGTATAACATCATTGGGCAAAAGCTTTAAGCATCTCAGAAGGCCATTCAAGGCAACACCAAGGCAGCCAATGTTCTAAAGTGTACAAGTATTCGAAATCATTCAGAAGCAAATACTCAGGCAACAATAAGCATCAGTGATATAGAAGAAGAGGTAAAGAAGTGAACATTAGGGTTTTTCAGTGTACATCATCATCAAAGCCCTAAACATAGCAAAGGAACGAAAGTACCAGGGAAGCTCAAAGGTCCATCCAAGCAAGCTCCATCACCGAATCTCCGGCCTCCTGAGCGCTACTTCTCCACCTCTCCTCCACCTCCCAAAATCAGGTAGCAATCTTCTCCCCCTTTCCTCTTTCTCCACCACCTCACAATAGCACAGATTCAAGAGTTAAAAATTCGAATCGAAAACACACATTCGTAAAAAAGGAGATAAAAATATAAAGCGTTGTAGTCAAACCTTAAGTCAAGGATGCTAGGCTCATGTCAATGGAGGGAAGAAAGGCTTCTGGAGGTAGCGCTGGTGGCCGGAGTGGGCTGCTCAGGAAGATGATCGGAGAAGACGAACGCACGGCGCCGCTGTTAACCCTAGCCATCGTTCTGGTTGCCAAATGCCTAGACCCTAATTTTGTTTCAAGCTTGATAAGGGCCTGACCCGTTTTCTGCTTACCCCAAAGCCCATTAACACACTAACCATTCTTTCTTTTTATTTCCTAACAACACTTACTTCTTTCTTTTATAAAACACTAACCCCTTTTATTTTACAAACAATGTTTACTCTCAATTTATTTCATAATTTAATTAAACATACTAACCTAATTAAAATACACCTTTTACTATATAATATAAAAAGCTTTCTTTTTAGATATATTTTGTACATACATATTATATTAAAAATTAGTTTTGTACATATCATATAAATTAAATTTGAAAACATTTTCTTTAGAATTAATACATATTTGTATATAAAATAATAAAATACTCCTTTTTTATACATAACTAACTCGAAAATATTTCTTAATACATATTAAAATATATTTGTATATAAAATAATACATATCATTTTTATCATGTAATTAAAATTGAAAACCTTCTTTTTATTAATATACGTATTTATACACAATAATTTAAATACCTTTTTCTAAATATCGAAATTCACAAACATTTGACTAAAACACTTTTTAATTAAAACGTAACATTTTAATCAAAACACTTCATTTTTCTTTTGTACATAATTAACATGTAAATCAAAAATACAAGATTAAAACATGTATCTAGGTCAAACCCTAATACGCTTCAATTCCATTTCGCACTTGTACATAATTACACAATTCATATACATGTACATCTCACATTTACACTTACACAATATATTGCCCTATACACATTGTATCTTATATTTGTACATTCGATATTTACATTTTGATTGTGACATTCGATTTGGTTGTAAATACTATAAGTCTCATCCCCTTGTACATTCATACCCCCACTCCCTGATACTATTTTGTAATAGCGTAGATTTACATTCCGCAATTTACAGCTTTCCAATTATACCATGATTAGACCTAGGGTTTGTATGTACATAAAATCAAACGCTAGATAACCTAATACAAGACAAATACATGTAATCAATACACAATCACACTTGCACCCTCTAGGGTAATCCCACATGTTGCCTTCCAAAATGGGCCATGCTTGCACGTCGAGTATCTTTGGCAAAATAAAATCAAATGATCATAAGTCCCTCGATGACGCTTTCGGATGTTGCCTAAACGGAATGATCATAGTCCCTTCGAAACAAATTGCCAAAGACACTTGGCATCATTGCATTCATGGTCTATACGATGACCCACGCCCGTCCCGAATAAACTTCCTAAATACAAGATTGCCTACCAATTTCAATGGTAGAACAAAATTGTCAAAGGGGTTAAAACACGACGAAAATCTTTGAGAAAGCTTTAGGGTAGATAAACTCTTAAGTACTTGTCAATTTGCAAAGAAAATACTTGCCTAATTTCAAAACCCACTTCACAAACACTTTCCAAAATCAAACTTTTCAAACCCTTGAAACATCTTTTTAAAAGATAAAACACCTTTTTGTAAAACATTCGAGTAAAGAATTGTTACGAGGTTAGCCTAACACAAGGCATCTTTTCAAAGCATTTTCAAAACAACCCACAAAGCACCATTTCATACAATTGAAAACCAAGGCAAGATTGATCTAAGCAAGTACCTAAGAGCCCATGGATAACCATGGATGAAAAGGGTGCTAATACCTTCCCTTTTCATAATCTACCCCCCGAACCCACGAAATATCTCAAAAGGTTTTTGCTGTGCTTTTTTAACCTTTCCTTTAGGATAAAATAAAAAGTCGGTGGCGACTCTTGCTCAACCGCACAAGTGCGAACGCAAACGCAAAACACTAGTCAGTTCTCCCACCGTATCACAGTTATCCTTTTCATTCAAATCAGAAAATGCAAGAGTCTCATATTCAAACCATTTGCTCTCTATTGTAAAATTGCAATATTGCAAACAAATTTCGCCCAAAATATATATCATTTTGTGACAAATATGTGATATAGGACTAACAACTGTATCTGCATTATAAGACTGAGAATGTGAAGGACAGAATGAAAAACTAAAAATGGGAAGGACCGAATGAAACAGTAACAATATAACAATGATAGAAAATAAATAAACATGTTGCTGTGTTTGGAAAAAAAAACTAGTTCTTGCAATGCTAAGACATAACACCAATTCAACAGTATTTAACTAGTCACATAAATCTTGTTATGCTGCAAACCCATTCTAAGGGAGGGGCTAGATGACAAAACAACTTTGATAACACACATGATTTTAGGCTGTAAACCCATTCTAATTGTAACTGGAAGTTTAGGAAGTGGTATTGTGGCGAGTGTAATAGGGTTAACAAGACGAAGATCTGAGGTTTCGTCGAGAATGGCAAGCCAGCCATGAGAAGAACCGCAGACAACAGTTCCAGGAGATGAATATAGAGCCAGATTGAGTTGATGGATTTTGTTGGCTGAGACCTCAAAACAAGAATTGTGAGCAAGCATGAGCCATGGGAGTTGAGTTGGTAGATGGAGAGGGGTTTTAGGGACACAAAGTCTCCATCTGTGACACACACATCGGAATCGGAGATAATCAGAATAGATTCTAAACTTTTTGGAGATTGATTCAACGATGTCTTGCAGTAACTCACTCCATATTCTCGTTGATATTAGGGTGTTTCTGCTGTAATCAGAACTTGGAATTAGGATTTGTGCGCTCATATGAGAATTCTGGTTTGAAGCTCTGGTTTAGGGTTTTTTCGTGAAGAAAATCTGACTGAGAATAGAAAAGTGATACGAATTGTGTTTTGATATTTATTATAAAACTACCTACGAAAGCGCTTTTAAAAACGCTTTCTAAAGGTCATCTATAACAGCGCTTTTACATCAAAAAGCGCTTTCGTAGCATATCCTATAGCAGTGCTTTTAAAAGCACTTTCTAAAGGCCAACTTTAACAGCGCTTTGGAAAAGCGCTTTCTAAGACTGACCTTTAGCAGCGCTTTTGAAAAGCGCTTTCTTAAGGTACCCTCTGAAAGGTCAGCTTTAGCAGCGCTTCCCAAAAAGCGCTTTCTAAGGGTGACCTTTAGAAGCGCTTTTGAAAAGCGCTTTCTTAAGGCACCCTTTGAAAGCGCCTTTTTAAGCGAATTTTTTTTTAAAACCTACAGCAGCGCTTTTTTCCAAAAGCGCTTTCTTTTATGTGCTGCTAAAACTTATTTTTGGCGTAGTGGCCACTGATACGCAACTTTCATATTTTAGCATTTAACTTCATGAACTATTGACACGTTTTAAATATAATTTTTTTCTTTTAAAAAATATATAAATCCGTTTATATTATTTTAGGATAATAAAAAACACATTAATGAATTTTGTTTCATTTTTAACTCCTAAGAATTTTTTTGACAATATACATAAATAATAATAATAATAATAATAATAATAATAATAATAATAAAATAAAAAAATATTGTTTTATTTTATAATAATAGTCATTGATTTTGTAATCAATTTATAAGTTATAAACCTTTTTATTATTAAATACATAAAACCTATCCTATTTATTTGAATATTGAAACGATTATATTTCAATCTAAATATGTTTTTCAACCTATGTATTAATAGTCTTGGAACGTGTAATTTAATTACTCGTAGTCTAAGTTATGCAATTCATGTTGGTAAATAGAAAGACTATAGTCCAATATATTTATGCAGACCACGTAAATGAAAAGGCTATTTAAGAATTCATGAGATTCTTTGACACAATACACATATTGTCCCGTATTTTTTATCAAAAATAAATATTTGTAATATTTTTTTAGTATAATTGATATTATTTTATCATAAAAATAATACTAACGTTCATATTTGTGTACCAAAAAAGGTTATACATTTTTTATTTCCTTATTCAACGATATCATTGTTCAAAAATTCAGTTCAGACAAATCTCTCAAAATTATAAGAATTTTGTTAAATATAGTATACAATGCATTTTTATATGATTATCATTTACTATGGTTCTATCATTTACGGATGAAAATGGTGCTAACAACTTCCCTTTTCATAACCTACCCCCGAACTTAAAATCTATCAAGTTCTTTCCTGTTCTTTTCACCCTTTCCTTATTGGATAAAAGAAAAGCCGGTGGCGACTCTAGCTATGCGCAACATTTGCGATAAAACGCAAAAACAAGTCAGTTTTCCCACCGTATTACAGAATTGGCGACTCTGATGGGGAAATAATAATGAGGGGTTATCTTTAGAGTTAGATCACTTTATCTGCTTTATTTGATTTGCTTGCTTTATCTTTAAAGGGCTCCTTGGGTTTACTTTTCTTGCAAAGATCCTATATCCGGATCTGGGGATGCCCTTAGGTAAGAGCTATATGTGATACGGTGGGAGAACTGACTATGGTTTTGTGTTTGTTTTCGCAAATGTTTCGGTTGAGCAAGAGTCACCACCGACTTTTTATTTTATCCTAAGGAAAGTTTAAAAAGCACAGCAAAAACCTTTGAGATTTTTCTTGGGTTCGGGGAGTAGATTATAGAAAGGGAAGGTATTAGCACCCTTTCTATCCATGGTTATCCATGGGCTCTTAGGTACTTGCTTAGATCAACTTGCCTTGGTTTTCAATTGTTTGAAATGGTGCTTTGTGTGTGGCTTTGAAAAGGTTTTGAAAAAGATGCCTTGTCTAGGCTACCCTTGTAACAATTCTTTACTCGAATGTTTTACAAAAGGTGTTTGTCTTTTTGAAAAGATGTTTCAAGGTTTTTTTGAAAGTTTGTTTTGAAAGTGTTTGTGAAGTGTGGTTTGAAAATAGGCAAGTGTTTTCTTTTGCAAATTGACAAGTACTTAAGAGCTATCTACCCTAAAGTTCTCAAAGATTTATGCTATATTTTAACCCTTTTGACAATTTTGTTCCACCATTGCATTTGGTGGACAATCTTGTATTAGGAGGTGAAAGGGACGGGTGTGGGTCATCGTTTAGACCATAATTGCAATAGTGCTAAGTATCTTTGGGCAATTTTTCTTTGAAAGGGACTTGATCATTTTAGGCAACTTTTCGAAAGCGTCGTCGAGGGACTATGATCATTTGATTGTTTGTTTTTACCCAAAGAAACCTAACATGCAATATGGCCCAATTATTTGAAGGCAACAAGTGGAATACCCTAGGGGTGCAAGTGTGATATGTGTTGTCCATTTTCATGCTTTGATTATCTTGAAGTTAGGTCAAACTATTTTGTTCTTTTTATTTACATACAAACCCTAATTCTAGCATGGCATACTTAAAAAGCGTTAAAGTGCGAAAAGTAAAATTCCTACACTATTACAACACAATATGGGAAGGGGGTACAAATGTTCAAATGGGGGGATATTTAGACAAGGAATTTAAACCTAGCTATTACATCAATTTTGGAATATTTACAAAATAATTGATTGTATAAATTAAATGGAAAATAAAATAAAGATGCAAAATGCAAAAAGGGTTTTTATATGTATGAAAAAAAGTATTATTTATGTCAAATAAATAAAATAAAAAAGTATTATTATTTTTTTGGAGTTTTTTGTGTTTTAAGGGTAAAACCCTAATTTCATTAAATAAATAAATATATATATATTATTTAATTTATACAAGTATTTATTTATTATGTACAAAAAAAAAATGAAGTATATTTATAAAAAGTATTTTTTTGAGGTCAAATATTAATAAAATAAAAAATGTAGGTATTTTTTGTATTTTAACCTAAATATACTAATAAATATATATATATATATATATATATATATATATATAATATATATATATATATATATATATATATATATATATATATATATATATATATATATATATATATATATATATATATATATATATATATATATATATATATATATATATATATATATATATATATATATATATATATATATATATATATATATATATATATATATATATATATATATATATATATATATATATATATATATATATATATATATATATATATATATATATGTATTAATTTCTAAATATGTATTATATATATAAAAATAATAATATTTTAATATTTATATAAAAAAAGTATATTTTACATAAAATATTTTCAAAAGAAAAAAAGAAATAAAAATCAGAAATAAAATATATTTACATTATTTTTCTAGTTTTTTCTAAATAATAGTGTATATATATATATATTTATGTATAAATGTCCATATAAACAAATAAATACCTAAAAAATGCAAAAATGGTGTAAAAATAATTTTTCAAGTTTTTAATATTATTAGCAAAAATAAATAAATCAGAAAAGAAAAAGAAAAGTCAAAAAATCAAGCAAATAAATAAAATGGGCTCAGGGGGTGCAAAACCAAAAATATGGTGTGAAGAGAAATAATACAAAAAGCCCAGCCCATGTAGCTTCTTCTTCAACCTTCAGATAAAAAGATGTCAAAAACGCGCGCTTGTATTCAAGTTCAAACATCTGGATTCTTTGACTTTTTGCACAAACTTTCAACACAAGGAATGTTAAACATTGAATCACGATTCTAAATATATAAAGAACTCATCCTAACTCTCAGAAATGAGAGAGAATTTTGACATTCCCAAATCCTGACATAACTTTTCTTCCATATTCAAACCTTAAATTCTCACAGCTCAAGCAAAATAAATGAAAAGTAAAAGCATGTACAGATTCAGGGGCATGAGTAGAACACTTCTTATTCACAAACCTAGAGCTAATGATGCATATACTAAGAGTTATAAGTTCAAAAAGATACCTGTTCAGTTGAAGTTCTATCTGGCAATGGGGGAGCTTTCAGGGCAAGATGATGATCTGTATAGCTTGCCTGAAGTGTGGTGATGCTATTCCAATGCTTACTTTGCTTTGAAACACCTTGAATCGAGCTATGGACCTTCAACTGCAAAACAAGAAAGTGAAAATGGTGGAACTGGTTAGAGGAGTTACAGATCGTGTTTTGTGTTTTGGTTAGCTTCAAATGATGCCAGGGAATATGTTTGATGAGCTTTGAGCAAGAAAGCATGAAAGGGATGAGTTGTGGGATTCAATCTGCAGACCCTGCCCTGTTTTTGCAGTTTGAGAGTGATTATGGGAATGGGAGTGTTTGGGACCTTGTTTGCTCGTGTTCTAGCTTGGGTTTGATGATTAGAAGGTGTATGAAATATTTGCTTAGGCTTCTTTTTTCTCAGATCAAAGTTGGTGATGTTATGATGTGTTACTTCACACTTAAGCAAGCAAAAGCCACTTGAGTTTCTAGGCAGGTAGAGGCCCCCTAAACATGCTGAAAAACCTCTCCTTGATCAGTGTGTTTTGTTCATAATCTTGTGCCAATTAGATTTGATCTGTACTTCTTGGATTTGCATTATGACATAAAGCTTGCTTTTGCAAAAATGGCTATTTCACTTTTTCCATTTATGGCCTAATCCAACATGTAATGCTTAAACTCATGAAACAAGGCCTTAGCACAATGAACATGCATTAAATTATTGAGTGTTGGATGGTTTAAGGGCCTGTAATCAAGTGGCATGCTGGTTTGAGAAATTTGCACAAGTTATGAACATGTACATGGCCATGAATCAAAGTGACTTTTTGCCATATTGCAAAATTCGATTCTCTCAAGTCATGAGGTTGTTTGATGAGTTCTTTGACATTTTGGAAAGCTTGGAATGTGTACTACAATCCATATTTGAAGTGAAAATTGAAATT